TGGAAGGTGTGGGGGGGGGGGGGAGAGAGAAAAATGTACCTTAATGCAGAGAATGCATTAGGGTAAAAAACGCCCGTGCCTTAATACTACTTTAATATGTACTAAGCCTGGAAATATATTACCTAATTATAGCAGCTATAACTATCATGTAGTAATCACTGTAACTATTTCAAATCTGTGAGTTAGTTTAGAACTACATTTTGTCTTTAACATCAGTCTTTAAAATAGATTTGCTGTAGTATATTCTATATACTGTCTTGCTAGATTGGTTGTCTGTTCTATCCATTTTTTCAGAATCACCTAGAAACATTGTAGGTAAATAATAATAACAATTGAAATATTTATGATAGCGTTCTGCTGCTGTGCCGAGCATTGGGTAACAGGCACAAATGGAAATAACATATTTTTGTACTTGGTATAATTTGCTGGTGGACCTATGCATACTAATCAAGTTTTGGTTCAGTGAAGGGCACAATGTCTATTATAGTAAATCTGGATATGTTTGTGATTATAAGGTAACGTTACTATTAGCCTGACAGTAAAATCCAGGGCATTAGGGTGAACTTGTGAATCTCTGCAATAACTGGTAAATGAGCCATGGCATGTTTTGAAGTACTAATAAGAAGTATCTGTGCTAATTGAATCTTAGTATAACTGAAAATACCTGTATGCATGTGTCACCTTGTTTTTTTGTATGTATCACACTCTAGGTTGCTCAACTGATCAGAAAAGGGCCAAAGCGCTTTTTTGGAAACACAGTGAGAGGAGGACCTTTTCATATTATCATGTAAGTCATCCAAAACTGTCATATCTATTCTTATACATCGCCTGTGGCACAGTTTTCCCTCTCAAAGATGCTTGAGAAGCAAGATGTCTGCAGGATTTCCTGCAGGCTTTATCCATGTTGAGGATGATATGCTCATATAAGCAGTCAACTTATACAGAATAAATGTGGTAGCTGGCAATATGATAGACATATTTATTTAGTGGAAGATGCAGCAGCACAATTCAAGTTGAAGAAGAACTGTTACCTATTTTTACATTTTTTAAACATCATATCTACAATAACGATACTGCACTATCGTAGCATTATTATGTTGCTGTTATCCATTTATACATGCCCTGAGATCTCCCTTCTTCTTACAGAGTATCAACAATGAATAGCCTATAGTGAATTCATTGCAGTGTTGTCACCCTGCTCAGCACTCTAGCTGTATGTCACTGATGATAACCCTACTACTCAATGCACACCGCACTGCCATTTACAATCAGCCTGTCTATAGCCCAGTGATTATGGAAAATGTAGTCCAATGGGTGCCCTGCATTGTTAATTTGGTCGACCAATAATTTTAGTCATAGGGGTCTATTCACAAAGCTGCCGAAGGATCTGGCCGTAGCTTCGGCCGATCCTTCGGCTAGCTTCGGCACCAGGACCCCTTCGGTTCAGGAGAACCGAGGGGGTGCTGTACGGGCTATTCACAATAGCCCGTACAGCTCCCGATCACGGCCGAGCGGCTCAGTCGAGCGCTGAGCCGTGCTGAAAGACGAAGCTGGCCAAGCGGCCGGCCATTGGCCGGCCGACAGCCTGCTTCTGACAGCTGGGCAGAGCCAGCCGTGATCGTACGGCTGGCTCCGG